GATTAGAGTGTTATTAATTGCTAATTGCTAAATGATCGAGTACGGTGTATAGGCATGGTGACGAGTATCTATACACCGGTGTCTAGCATGACCGTGGGTCCTTGTTTGCACTTATGCTGATATTTTTGGGACTCTTCCATGGTAATTGATGAATTCTACATAATGTGAATAGTATGAGGATTAGTTATGAATTGTGGATTCTTTGGAGCGTTGGCTCGAACGATGAAAATACTATTGCGTAAGAAATGAAAGAAATGAAAAGAGATATGATTAATCCCTTGCCGGGATGGTTTGAGTATCTTGATTATCTCCCTTGCCGGGATGTGAAAGTTGTTGTTGTTGCTCCCTTGCCGGTTAGCTGTTTAATTGTGTTTTTTCCTTGCCGGGACATTTCTTATTATTTGTTTATTCACTCGCCCGTTTGGTTGTGATTGCTGTTTGGGTGAGGAAGAGTGATAATGCACGAAGGGTCATTCCGTGCCATGTTTGATTATATTTGCACGAAGGATCATTCCTTGTCATGTTTTGATTATATTTGCACGAAGGGTCATTCCGTGCCATGTCTTGATTATTTATGCACGAAGGGACATTCCGTGCTCTGACTTGACTATAATAGCACGAAGGATCATTCCGTGCCATGAAATGAGAGTTATGTGAGGGAAAGCACGAAGGGTGATGCCGTGCATTTTATTTGATTGCTTTGGGTGAGAATGAGAGTAAAAGCACGAAGGTTGATGCCGTGCAACTGTTGATTTTCCTGCTTTTGTTAATTATTGTTGTGCCCTGTTTCTTACTTAAGTTGATGACTTTTATATCCGGATTGTACTCCCCCATAGCATGCTTCCCTCCCCTTTTAACTGTTTAGTTTCGGTATTCTTTCCTTTTATATATATATATATATATTGAGCTACTCAGGTTGATTTGGTAGTCCTGTCTAGCCTCGTCACTACTTCGCCGGGGTTAGGCCAGACACTTACCAGCACATGGGGTCGGTTGTGCTAATGCTACACTTCTGTGCTTTTTGCACAGATCACGGTACCGGAGCAGCTTTTGGACCACAGCAGTAGTATATTGATCAGGAGCTGACTTCAATCCAGGGACTTACGAGGTAGCCTAGCTGGCGTTCGCAGGCCGAAGTCCCTTCCCATATTTTCAGTTTGTTATCATTGTATCGAGACAGACATTATGTATCTTACATTCAGACTTGTTTGTAGCACTCTTTAGTGGTTTGTGAGATAGCGACTCCAGTCTTGGGTAGAGAAATATTAAACTTCCGCATTTTGGGTTTTCAGTTATTTATGTTTTAAAAGACTTCCGCTTTTATTTAAAGACTCGTTATTTTATTATTGTTGTGTTGTTATCCGAAAATGTTTAAATGGTTGGCTTGCCTAGCTCCGACAGTAGACGCCATCACGACTCCCGATGGTGGGAAATCCGGGTCGTGACACTTATTAATTGTTTACTCTACTTCTTCCCTCAAAGGATGAATCAACCCATATTTTGGATGGATTTCTCATAATATACTATTGATTTTCGACTCTGACAAGAACTTCAAAAGTTTTAAAAACTAGAGTTTAACTTTTATATAACGATAGTATATTTATCCAACCAGATCAGCTAAACATACATTCTTTTTAATACGTGGATTAATAACTTAAAAATAAGGCATATAACCTTACTATAACAAATTAAAATATACTTAAAAATATGGTAGCTTGGTACACAAGACATCTCACGTTCACGCAAGGTCGGGGAAAACCGCACTCCAAGAGTGTGATGTACACAACCGACCGTAATACAATTATTAGTGACTATTTTCATGACTTGAACCTGTGATCTATAACTCTCCCTCAATAAATTAAAATACACAGTTAATATAAAAATTTCTTACATTGTCAGCATATAACTTAAATTCCAAAATGTATATATTGTACTCATTGTTACGAAGGAGTGATATTAATATGTCTTTTAACTAATGAGTCACTCCACTTGAGTAGGAAAAAAAAGAATTTGCAGTCTTCTGCCTTACCACTCTGTTATGTCGCCAAAATACTATAGTACAAATGTAAAAAACTTTTTCCCAATTACTGAACTGTTTTTTTATTATAATACTTGCACCTTGAATTCTGTTTAGGAGTATGGACTTATGAATTAAATTGAAATCTTTACCACCAATTTCTTTAGAAACACAGCTTCTTTCTATTTTGGGGGGCCTTTGTTTGTTGACATGTAAAAAATGACGTCGATTTCAAACTGTAGAAACTTTACAGGTACGTAATAAAATAATAAATGCAAGTGCATGGGGTGAAAGTTGGAATTCCCTAAGTTGGGAGGAGTTGAGTGTAAGTTTCTCAAATTGGTTTGGTGAAGAAGATGCCATTTTCTTCAGGTCGAAAATACAGCTCATAAATTCTAACGGCATTGCTTCACCTTGTACTCATAAAATTCATAGTTAAATACTTCAATAAGTATTTGTGCTTAATTGACATTCTTCAAGTTTTCCTGGTGCCACATGTACTACTTTAAATTTAGAGCCCTCATCGTCGGCAACATAGGCAAATCCAAAATTTAAAGTTAGTGAGTTTATAATAAACGTGGTTTTATTACATATATAGACTAGTGTATTTTCCTATCGTAGAAAAAAAAATGTCAACAGAAATTGAACAACACTGTTTTAGAGAGACCAGAAGTAGGGGTGTACAAAAAAAATCGATAAACCGTACCAAACCGCTAATCCGAGTCAAACCGAAAAAAAAAACCCGATCATGGGTTGGTTTGATTTGGTTTGGTGTTGGAAAAAATAACCCGACCATAATTGGTTTGGTATGGTTTTAACTAAAAAAAGTCAAACCGAAACCAAACCAACCCGATATTACATTTATTCAATTTTTACAAATATTTTATACATATAAATATTTATTTTTAATAGAATTCATAAATATTTCTTAAACTTTTTTACAGTTTTATCTTTAAACATATTATTTCAAGTTTGGAATTAACATTCTTGAATGGTCCAATAAATTTTATAGTTCATAAAGGTAGTAATTCAAATAAACTTCACATCAATACTAATGCAAAAACAACAACAACCCAGTTTAATCTCACTTAGTGGGGTCTGGGGAGGGTAGTGTGTACGTAGACCTTACCCCTACCCTGGGGTAGAGAGGTTGTTTCCAAATAGACCCCCGGCATCCTTCCCTCCAAGAACTTCCCACATTGCTCTTGGGGTCACAACCTCTCGGTTGGAAGTGGGGGTTGCTTACCATCAGAGCAACCCCTCTTGTCTTACATCAATACTAATGCTAACAAAGAAAATTCAATTCAACACTAGAAATGACAATAGTGTTGGATATCTACTTTTTAGTTTTGCATTGTTTATATTGAAAATGCATAACTTAGTTTATCTTTTTCTTTAGTGCTTAGTTGTGTAACTAATATACTTATAGTTGTACTTATTTTAGCATGACTTATATAGTACTTTTAGATTATGTTAATATTATTATGACTTATTACTTAGTAATATTTTCTTTATGGATTTTAGTATTTTTGTTATTGAATATTTTAGTACAATGCTATGACTCATCTCATATTATTGTATTATTTTCTTGAAAAATACATTATATAGTTGTATCCTTGTAGGACTAGAGAAATATATGGAGCACAAGTTATATATTTGTGGTATGAAGACTTATTGGGAAAAAAAACCCGAAAAAAATCGAAAAATCCGAGAAAACCCGAGATTGAAAAACCCGACTTTGTTGGTTTGGTTTGGTTTATAGATTTAAAAATCCGACACTATTGGTTTTGTTTGGTAATTGAAAAATCCGAACCAACCCGACCCACGTACACCCCTAACCAGAAGAAAACATGTAAAAATTGCGGAAATAATTAAAAAAGAAAATAGTTCTAAGAAGACTGAATTGGTCAAGGATATTTGACAAGCGAGCTACTTTGACTGTTTGCACACATTTGAATCCTATCAAATAATTTTTTCTTCTATTTTGGATTTCAATAAACCATGAAATTCCTCTGTTGTTTTCCCTTGATCAATTCATCATTGCTTTGATACATCCCCAACTCAAATACACACTCCCCTCCTCCCCACCCCCCCCCCCTCCAAAAAAAAAAAACGTGGCTACCCCTAATCCTGCGTCGCTAATGAACCCTCGTTATTATTAACTTAATTTCTAGTACATACGGATCAAGGAAGGACAATGGCAGAGGTAGGATTACTATCAAGGAGATTCCCAAAAAATAAAAATAAAAAACGTGAAAAGTTCAAGAGATTTTAATATATGATATGTACACATAAAAAATATTTGACTTATATGCACGGTACAGATGAATTCTTTTTCGCCCCTCCTCCGCTCCTGAGGAAGGGAAAGGGAAAATAAGGTCATGACAACTAAACCTACAGTTATTGAAAGCCTTCACCCCGAAATACTGATGTGACAAAAAATGTGGATACACTTTCTTTTAGGTGCATATAGACTCGCAATATTTATTCGGTTAGGTAGGGATTATAAATTTTTCTTTTGTTGAAATATTAAAAAAAAAAGAGGAAACAAAGAAATAAATTCGCATGCAGTTTATAAGTAATAAGGCACGTTATGAAGAAGAATCCATTTCAAATAGAAACATTTCCCTGCAATAATACTCACCAACTCTGATTAAAGGGCAGCCCGATGAACTAAGCTTCCATTATACACGAGTCCAGAGAAGGACCGGACCACAAGAGTCTATTGTATACAGCCTTACCCTGTATTTTTGCAAAAGGCTATTTCCACAGCTGGAACCCCTGACCTTCTGGTCATATGACAACATGTGACAACAACTTTACCGGTTATACCAAGACTCCCCTTCCCTCACCAACTCTGATTAAAGAGCGGTACATTGAACTCCCACTATGCGCGAGGTCCCGGGAAGGGCCGTACCACAAGGGTGTATTGTATTGAATCTGAATAATTCACTTTTAAAAAATTTGCCAGGGACGGTAAACGTACTTTAATTTGGGAATCTTAAAAAGATTTTGACAAATAGATAGACACAACTTGTATATACTTGTCCAGATAAATCTTCCATTGGACAAGAAAGTGCATTCAATCAGTATACTTTGATTATACAGCTTATGAATGTATATCCTATAATAAGAGGTGCAGCCCAGTCCCAGGCCTCCAAGTAATTTATGTGAAAGAGCAGGTAAGAGGGATTGGTTCCCTTAGTATTTATCTTGGTAGAGGTTCTCAAAACTGTATAAGCCAGATTAGTTTGGTTTTAATGTAATAAGTTCCCCAATGTATTAGTATTTCCATGCCACAACCTTCTTCCTTTGTAAAATTTCACATGCTGCTGATATCCACTCGGCTTTTATGGAGTTGAAAAGCAGGGGTAATCCAGCTTCCACAACTGCACTGAATACCTGACCAATTGAAGTAACCCAAGCGAGCTTCACAGTGCGCACATAAAAGCTTGCCCTCCAAGGCACCTTCTTCAACTGCATGCGACATTTTCGAGGCAGATCAGAAAAAGGTGCAGTGCAGATATCCAACATTGTACAAATATGTGACCAAGAAAGAGGGATTGTTTGTAAGCAATATAATCTGTCAAATTTAACCAGCTACTTTTATCATGTTGAACCATGTGTACAATAATCCACAGGGCTAAACATAGAAAGGATGAGAAACTCAGGGTCCAAGTAACAAGTTGTTACCCTTGTGTCCCATGGACAAATGTGTAGAGATTCACCTAACTACAAATATGATGCCCATAATGTTCATGAACAGGATTCCATCACATTAAATGTGTGCTCATATGTGTCTGGTTTTAAGTCCTCCGTCACTCAGGAAAGAGTATAGTAAATTTTTCATCAAAAAAGGAAAGAGTACATCTAAGTCGAGGTTTCTTAAGACATATTAATGGAGCTAAATTAATCGCATCCTTTCTGGCACACCGTTTGGGTTATCTCACATATTGCATTTAATTCCTGCTCCATGAACTGACCCGACCATATCTAGAAAATGTTAGCCTAGAAATAAAGGGGTGAAACTAGTATGTAGTACCTGTTCTCATCCATTTTAAAGGCTCAACAAAGACAGATGAACACTCGTCATCAGGTTTGTTAAAAGGATTGCCACTTCTCCTTTTATACCACTGAAATGCTGTCTCACCCTCTCCTGGAACATGATCTACAACATTCCCCTGCAGCGCCACAACTCTCCGGCATTTCTTGCAGCGGTAAGATCGGGCAGGAGCTGTTTCCTTAGTCAAGGACACATCCACATCCACATCTGAAGGAATGTTTTCCGTTGCCGAGCCTGGATCAGCCCCAAACTTAGAGGTGTCTATTCTTTCTCCACGATTATAACTATCACCTGATACATTAAAAAGATCTTTTTATTTCAAGTGTGGAAATATAAAATACAATTTTGTAAGGCAACATACATTTTTGCAAAGTTCAAGATGTTGCAATTGCCCTCCCATAGTTTACACTGTTGATGGTGGAAGGTTTATTTCATGCTCATCTTTATCAGACAGGGCAATATAATGAATTTATTATCACGGTTCTAATCATGTTTCTCAATTTGTAGCCTACTAAGACAGCAGCTTAGTTTCACAAGTAGTTTGATCAATTAAATTTTATAATCTGGAAGTCCAAAAAAGATGCTATTGACTTGTAAATCCTTCCTTCAATCCTCCACAACAATGAATCTTGCATAAAGTTTCTAATCAGCTGAAGCAATCATACAAGCTAGTAATAATTTTACCAAGTAATTCAAGAAGCCGTTCCATAAAAAATGAAGAGCCTTGATCAAATTCTATTACCTTGAACACAAACAAGCTTAAAGGTTTCGGGAAAAAACTCTTAGACAGTGATTTATTGATAGATAAAACTGCAGCAAATTTTGAAAAATGAAATTAGTACATATGAAACTAGGAGAAAATAGAAATGTTTCTAAAGAGGGATACCCATAAAACAATAGGAGTACTTCTTCACAAGTCACATCTTGCCAATCAACTATACCATAATGTCAAACTAGTTGGGATCGGCAGTACAAATCATCTATTTCTGCTCTGCTCTATTTGGACAATTTTTTCCAATATTTAAATAATATGCTTTTAAGGCTAGTTAAGGGGTTCTCTAAAACTATTGAGATTTCGTAAATTTGCACTAATTTGCGCACTGACATACAACTAGTTGATATTACCTTTATGGATCATTTATTGCCATTATGTTTCGGTTTAGCTAACTCTATTAAATCTGAGAGATAAATCTTTTACGACAACTTCTCTCCATGACTTTAAGTCTATCTAATAACCCTTTAGCACATTCAATCATCATAATGTTACAGCTACAGAACGGAGCTTTTAGAGGTTTGCGTGAAGACATGACAAACAATCTAAGTAATCTTCTTCCCATTTTATCCTCTAAGTGTTCTTTTTTTATTGGTCAATGTAATTCATTGATATTTAGCAACAAGTGCAGTCAAATATTTAAAAGGGTTTTATCCTGTAAGTGTAATACTTGCAACTTTTGCCAGACTATTGATTTCTAATCTTGTTTGGTCATACATCCATCTTAACATATGCTTTCTCTACAACACTTATCTTGTATGTGTGTTAGCCTAATAGACTGAACATCCACTACCATTTAACATCATTGATCTCTCAGTCGTTCTATATAATTAGCCTTCCATAATATCTTCCTACTGCATTCTATCCCGTAGAGCTCCATAAATTATTTTCTCCTGAAGCATCCACCATAGGACTTCTCTTGGCGTTCTATCATATGATTTCTCTATATTAATGAATATCATGTGTAGCTCCTCCTCCTTTTGTAATAAATTTCCACCAACTTTCTGCACAACACATAGCCTCTATCTTATATCCACTAGCAAGCATAAATCCAAAATAGTTTTATGTCCTTGTAATGTGCCTAAGTCTATTCGCTCTCTCTTTCAAAAATTTAATTGTATGACTCGTAAGTTTATACCAAGATAGTTCGCACTACTTTGCATATCCTTGGACTTATATATCGACACAAAGGTACTCTTTGTCCACTCATTTTGCATCTTTCCATACCTCCTTATAACAGTGAATAGCTAGGTTAGCCATACAAAGTTACAAATCCAATCTCTCCAAGACACTTTTAAACCTCTATAGGATACTATTTGGATCATAGTCTTTTCTATCCACATATTTTTCATGGCTCCTTTACTTCACAACTGGTGGTACAATCAGACAGAACGTTAACTTTTCTTTAAAAAGTTTGCTATGATTATTCTTGGAGGTCTCCCATTTCACATATATCACACGTTGGACCACCAGCTCCTGGGCAATGTGCCTCTTGAGGAACCGGAAGAGGAAAAAAATGGGCAATGAAGATTGAGTAAGCCCTAAATATTCATGATCCACAAATTAAGTAGCACAAGATACCACATGCAATTTCATATTATAAGTGTATCTCCTCCAACACTTTAAATTTTTAAATAAATCACGACAAAATTCACCTTCAGAAGGTAGTCATGAGGTCAGAAGAATGAAATAAATTGAATATTCAAGCAATCTACTATTAAGAGCTAAATCTTGGTAGCACGGATTGTTAGATTAGTCCATCATTACAAATCCTTAAGACAATTCATATGGTAAAAAGCAATACCGAGGCTCCAGAGGGAATTGAAAGTCCTCATTAGAATATTGTATATTTCACATATTCTTCAGTCAATTCGCTACTCTAGATTTGTATAGATTATTGGATGGGTCATTTTGACATTAAGCTACTTCATGTACCTTCCCATATGCAGGATTTTCCTAATTTTCTTCTTTTAAAACTTTAGTTAAGAAATAAGAATAATAATCTCAAGATAAGCAAAGAAAAGAGAGAAGTGGACCTAGGACTTTTAGGTGGAAGCGTTTGTAAATGGGGCTAGCTTTATCAACTTTGAAACCCATTTCTTCAAACATTTTCAACTGCAGACAAAAGAAGAAGAAAATCACTCAGAATCGAGTCATGTAGCGGACAAAGCAGGAAACTAATTTCAGTAATCATCATAAACCATTGCTTACAAATCACTTCTTACTGCCTATTTCACCTGATCTTGGAAACCATCATTTGGGCAGACAAATTCACAGCTTTGACGTAAAGATTCAACTGCATCTGTAAAAACAAGATAGAAGAAATTTCACACAATAATAAGTAAAAAGGGTCAAGCTTTAAGATCACAAGATGTGTAAAAGAAGAAGAAGAAGCTCTAATTCTTAGCAAATTGTGTAATATTTCCAGGCAGCTCAAAAGGAAACCACCAACATTTTCTATTATATGCTGAAGTATGCTCTCAATAAAGGGAAAAATAAGTTTTTGATAGTGAAGGTCCACACGTAGAAACAGAAAAAAATCGAACCTTCTTGAGATAGTTGTTCAGTTTTCATCAGGTAAGCTGCAATGATGGCTGCACTGCAACCAAAAGAGCAAACGAGGGTGTCAATAGGTAAAAATTAGCAGGAAAGTGTAAGCAGTATAACTCGTACCAAAAACAATGTAGGCTGTTTGGCCTCCATAAGAGAGCCATACACGGAGAAGCATCTCCCTTCATTCTTACATTCAAGTGGAAAAGTACATAATAACCACAGCAGTGGAAAAGAAAATTATCGGAGATAATTTAATTACCATTCCTTTATACAAACACAGAAGTACCGTGATACATATGGAATTGCGGCATAAAACTATGAACAGTCTAAAAGTAGGTGAAACATTAGGCAATCAAACACAATTTAACTGTAAAGAAATGAGCAGGAGTCCATCTCGTCATCACGGAATTTCCATTTAGCTTTGTTTAGAACAAATATATTAGAAAACCTAATTCACTGTGACATAACCAGAGGTTATAATGAAGCCAAATAATAACTCTAGCAAGATACTTACCAATTTATGTTGGTGATTGATCATATTGGCCGCAAAGGGCAAAACAACTATTAGTCAACTTGATAGACATGGCAGCGAAGCTTTGCGTCTAAGCAAAAAGATTAAATCATGATCGAGTTAGGCCTAGCCCCCTCTCCCCACCAAAAAAGAAATAAAGAATAAGAAGTATAAGCTAATGAAAATGTTAGGTTTTGACAAATTTCTTCTTTGCAAAGCAAGGACATCTTAGACCCCATTTTTATGCTTGTCACATGGATAGACAGATCAAGAAAGTAACACAAGCGTCTCCAACCAAAAAGAAGAAGAAAATACTGTATAATGTAATAGTCTGATTCAATAGCTTATTACCAAAGTTACTGTTTCAACATTGAAAGCAGCATATTATCTCCTTATGGTAACCTAATCGAACCATTTGCATCTTTATGTCGCAGAAAAACTCAATGCGTATTTTACTAGTTTGGCAAGTTATTGATAAGCAATATCCACCCTATCGTATTCTCCAAAACTTGACAACCAAAAGTGATGGATAAGTTTTATTTTAACAAGAGAAAGAAAGAATGTGAGGGTAACGTCCGGCTGATGATGCATGTAACTGCTTAAACTAGTAAGTACTAAGCCTTGATGCATTATTTTCTGTTTTATAGCTGAACAGTAGCACAGCCTAAGCAGTAAATTAACTTAAGTGATTCATGAAGAAAAGCAAAAGAAGTCATTGTATGAATTTGAATCCTCTACAATAGGTATGTATAGCTCACGAACTGTTCAATGTAGTAAAAGGTAGATGTCCACATCTGACACATCTTTTTCGGTGAATCTTCTGACATATTTTCATTTCATGAGGTATTGTACCACTTTAACCGGTGAGTAGACTTGCCAGGTCAGCTAAGGCAACTTAAAAAAGTTCTTTCTTACATCTAATAACAGCGGGATCCTGATAAGGGAATTGGGATCCGAGAAGAAATGGTGCATTGGTGTTAGTAAGTCAAAGTGAAGATCATGTATAATATCAGCAAGTGAAAAGAAAAAAGCACGGAGCATTTCTTATCGATTGAGATTTTAGAGCACCGAGAATCAGTAAGCATCCATATTAAGCGTTTTAATCCACAATTATGTTGGAGAAAAACTGAATATCTTGCTTTTTCATGTGGACTGAAAAGAAGCTACAGCTTCTTATAAAATAATGATACTTTGTCAGAGCTTTTCCCTTTTCTGATATGTAGTATAAGCTTCCTCACTTGTAAATGGTTTTGTAATATCCATATTATATCTCTGATTAACTTTTGTCAAGTCAAAGATTGACAAACCCGATCAATCTACTGGGTGGAGGTCCATCAGGACTTAAAAGAACAACCCATCTAATTTACAGCATCCAGAAATTGGGATATAATTGACCCAAAACAACAACGAGCCGTGTAGAAGTTATACCTTCTTGATACACCAGCAAAGCAATGCACCAACACAGACCCCTCTTTTCTACTTTGTTCGATAAAATCCAAACAAACATCCAAAGAATCCAGCAAATTCTCATTCTCCATGTCTCTCAAGGGCGCAGTCATCCTTACAAACTTCAAATCTTTCCCTGCATGTTCTAACGAGTAGAGGAGTTTCTTAGGTGATGATGCGCTCTTATTCTCATCAGTTATAGCGTCGGCATTTCCTGAATCCCCAACACATTCCTTCCGAATCTCTTTGGCTGGTATAGAAAGCCCAGAACGCCATTCTGAGAAAAAGGATATTGAAGCTGAGCTAAGGACGGACAAGATATGCGTAATCTCATCACTACCATGCTCAAGAACTTCTGCTGCATCACCTATGTTGCCAATGAATAGATGCTCACGAACCAGATACGGCATATCGCACGAGCAGATTAATTAACTGCAGAAATATCTTAATAGTTAAAATTGCCCACAGTTTGTAACAACCAAAATTCTTTTCAAAAGTAAAATAACTTCCATTCACAACATTGAAACCAATACTAACTTTCGATTTTCCAAAAGGAAATTGCAATATCAAATGAACATTTTGTATGATCTCATATCTCGGTATTCCATTAGAGATGTGTAACATTTACGCCTTTACTCTCAAAAATTGTTTATATCTTCCCTCCATTTAAGTGTTCGAATAAATATACCCTTATCATATACCATTAAACTTTTGAACAAAAATACTCCTCATCCATTAAAAGACCCAGGCCCGATACCTACAATAGACACGTGGTCCGTGGACGGTCATTTGACATTTTAAAATACCCGATTCGTTTACCCAAAACCATTACCCGACCCATTAGGTGTCAAGAACTCTTTCTTCCTCTTAATCAGTTGAATTATCCACCACCGTAAACCCTAAGGCCTAACCCCCCCCCCCCCTCTCTCTCTCTCTCTCACACACACACATACATACTCGCTAGCATATTTACTTTCCAGTTTCAAGCTTGCTTTTTTTTTCTTCTTTTTCTTCTATCTTCCTTGATGTGAAGACCTCAAAATTAAACAATCTAACTTTGAATTTATCTAGGTTCTACACTTGCAAATTCTTCTTTCCCATATCATTTCCGTTAGTGATATAAATACAGGAATCCAAATAGATAGGTTTACAATTTTCTGCCCTTCATTTTGTAAAATATTCCTAGATGGAAGAATATGATAAAGTAAATACGAAAAATCCCCCAAAAATATTTTTAAGAAAAAAAACAAAAGAGAAGAAAGTAGCTATGCTATTCATCGAATGAGAAGTGTAAAATAGTTGGTTAATGAAAAGAACCTGAAGAGCGCGAAGTTGGAACGGGCGGAGGAAAGGCGGTGTCAGTAGACTGTTGGACAGTGTGGCGGACAATTCAGCTAATGAAGAAGAAAGAGTTCTTAGACACCTAATGGGTCCGATAATGGGTTTGGGCAAACGAATCGGGTATTTTAATATATTTATTGTATTTTTCATATAGATATAAAATTAGAAAAATATATTTAATAAATTTTGAAAGAATCATTTGATTGAAAAAATTATTAGGCGTGAGAAAGAGAGAGAGGGAGAGAAAATAGAGAGGATTGTAGTATCATATATTATTATTTTGTATATAAATGGTAAATATGCATATAAAAATATAATTCAGTAATAACCTTTCTAAAAGAGATAAATAAGTTTATAATAAGCATAAATAGGTAAAAGTTCCATGTTTATTAGCCCTCTATGTGTCTATCTCAGTGTTGGTCCGGATCTCTTATAGAGTAGGATAGTTTTATTCAAATGTGCAACAATCAATATATATATATATATATATATATATTGATTGTTGCACATTTGAATAAAATTATCCTACTTTATAAGTTCCACATTTGTGGATCATGAGTTGCTATATTTAGTATTTTACCAAGCGTTTCTATAGTCTAGATTAGTACTGATAGTATCTAGAGTAAGGTATATTATATGGTAATGGAAACTTATATATTTCGCGAAAATATGTTGTTTCATAAATTTCTGGTCCTTTCAAATGGAGGATTTTTTAAAAAATTAGAAGGACAAATATGACCCTTATTCATTATATTTATTGTTTAGTGTCATTCGCTCTCCATGATAGAGCTCACGAGAGAAGAGACTCGTGTCTTAGCAAATGGAGACTTGCGTTTTAAGTGTTGCCCAAGCGAGGCGAAGCGCCCACCTTAAACTCTACTTAGCTTAGGAGCTTAAGCATCTCACAATGAACCTCTAAATAGCACTATATAAGAAAAAACTATAATATGTCAAGTTTCACTTATGAAATGCACTTTACTAGGTTTTCAATATAGGAAATTAAAAGAAACGTTAACTTTTCTAAATAATAGCTACAGGAAAGATAAAAATATTATAAAGAAACAAATTTAACCGACAACCAGATCAATTCAGAAAAATTCAAGATTCAGTAACATTAAACGTGTCTTTCTTTAAATTTGATTATATATTAAATATTCAGTCTCATATATTTATAATACTGACAGAAATGCATCGATATTGTAAAAATAATTCAAAATAATTATATTTTTATTAGAGAGGGAACCCAAATGTTTACATAATTTATTTTTTATTTTATTAATCAGCATTAAAAAAAATTAAAACTAATATGTTTGTAAAAGCGAGAGACTTTCTCGATACATTTTACTTGTTTTCTATACTATACCTACAGAGATTATTAGCATTGTCAATTAAACTTTTGCCAATTAAAAGTCACGTATTTTGTCCATCGCAACCCCTTAGCGACAAAAGGCAAATATTTAGTAGTGTAAATGTAGTCTTCTTTTAGAGAATTTTTTAAATTTTCATTATCGTCTTGTTAGCCATGTTTTTCTTTTCTCCTTCTGCTCGAGGAGATTTATATAATTGGGTAAGAACTTACTCATAATATTTATATCAAATCAATAAATGTAAAATATATATCGTATACAAAATTATCACTTACGCATGGATATAGACGTCTTTATTTTCAAACACGTCTTTATCCTCTTTCCATTTGCTCTTTTGATATGGATATAGACCCGTGAAAATTATAATTTTATATATATATATATATATATATATATATATATATATATATATATATATATATATATATATATATATATATAT